AAATTTTTTTCCAACCCTTTACCCAGAGGTAATGTCTGTCTTTGATGTTGAGGTGTGTTTCTTGTATGCAGTAGAAGGATGGATCCTGTTTTCATTTCCATTCTGTTAGCCTGTGTCTTTTTATTGGCTAGTTGAATTAATTGATATTGAGAGATATTAATGACTGGTGATTGCTAATTCCTGTTATCTTTGTTGTTGTTGTTTTGTGTGTGTGTGTGTGTGTGTGTGTGTGTGTGTGTGTGTGTATTTCCCTCTTGTGTGGGATTATCTATTGCCTGTGTATTTGTGGATGCAGCTAACTTCTTTGAGATGGAGTTTTCCCTCTAGTATCTTCTGTAGAGCTGAGTTTGTGGACAGGTATTGATTAAATTTGACTTTGTCATGAAATACCTTGTTTTCCACATCTATGGTGATTGAAGGTTTCACTGGGTATAGTAGTCTGGGCTGGCATCCATGGTATCTTAGAGTCTGCAAGAGGTCTGTCCAGGACCGTGTGTCTTTTAGAGTCTCCATTGAGAAGTCAGGTGTAATTTTGATAGGTCTGCCTTTATATGTTACTTGGCCTTTTTCCTTTGCAGATTTTAATATTCTTTCTTTGTTTGTTATGTTTAGTATTTTGATTGTTATGTAGAGAGGGGGCTTTTTTCTGGTCCAGTCTATTTGGTGTTTTATAAGTTTCTTGTACCTTTGTAGGTATGTTCTTCTTCAGGTTGGGAAAATTTCTTTTATGATTTTGTTGAATGTATTTTTTTGGCTTTTGAGCTGGGATTCTTCTCCTTTTTCTATTCCTATCTTTCTCATGTTTAGTCTTTTCATAGTATCCCAGATTTCCTGGATGTTTTGCATTAGGAATTTTTTTGATTTAACATTTTCTTTTTTATGGTAGACATTAATTTTTTTATTAAAATGTAATCAGGAACAAGTTGATATTCTCACCATAAAAATAATTACTTTTATTAACAATGAATCTAAGCTTCCTGAAAAGCTGCATTGGTGATAATACAGGGGTGACACTAATACAGGGGTGACAAGTTGACAGCCAGTCTTCCAAGCTCTGGCTTAATCTAAAGTGTTGAAGACACTCCTTCCCTTGCTTATATTGACAACAGAAGACTCATTTACCCAAATGTAGACAGACTGGTGGATACATGGTACCAAAGAACACACTTTTAACCATTTTCACTTTATTAAAGTTTTGACAATGAAAAATTCATAAAGTATTATTAAATTCTATCTGCTGTACAGTAACTATCTGTTCTCATGTAGTGAACACATGCTGCAGTAATCATTTTAATATTTACAAAATCATTTTTAATATGTACAAATCATTTTAATATGTACAAAAGCAGGATGACCTGGACAAATAGCAAGCTAGTAACCTAAAGAAACATAGTAGTGGGAAAGATTTTAGAAACACCTCCTGAAGTAACCCAGATGGCCCCTTGTCAGACACTCTGAAGAGTTCAGTTAGGGTGCTGTACACCAGACAGAGCTGGGAGACATATCATGTGACTACAGATGTGCCAGAGCCCCAAGTGACAGTGACTTATGAACTATAAGAAGACACAACACATTCTTCAGGAGTGATACGAGGAGAGCCCCCAAGATCCCTCTGCTGAAGGACAGAAAAGCTTTGATGAGACCAGAATCACAAAACAGGCAGAGATCCTTCATGTGACCCATTAAAGGGTTCCTCCACGTGTAAGTTGAACACAACAACCAGCTTGGAGAACCGAGGGTTCCACTGGTCCTTTCCTGCTACTGTACTTGGCTACTTGGAGCATTTGGGTGCAAACGCTTAACTGGTGCTAGTCGGGAGAGGCCCAGGCGGAGGCAATGACTTGGGCACTTGGTGGGTGCTCCTGCCAGTGAGCTGCTGCTGGAGCTTCTGCTTCTGGAGGCGGCTGGTGGGACCCACTTGGGTCTCTTACCTTCAGCTGAAGGGCTGCACATTTTTGCTGGATTCCTAGTGGCCTCAGAAGGAAGACAACTGCCTCGGGTAAGGATGGAAATCCTGACTTGATGGCAGCTGGAGCCTCATCTGACGCCTCATATTTGTGTTTCGATTTCTTTTCTTTTTCCGTTGCAGGTGGAAATGCCCTGCCTTCTTCTTCGTTTCTTTAACTTTTCTCACTGCAAAGTCTTCATCACTTCCTTGCCTCCCATCACAATTAGAATCGTTTCCTGAATCCTCACCAGTTGCACTGTCCAGTTCAGTGTCATCAGCACTGCTGCGGTCGCTGCCTTCCGAGAGCGCCCTCCTCCGCTGAGCCTCGGCTTCAGATGTTGTTTTGTTCCCCCTTCAACACTGCCGGGGTCCCCCTCCTCCATGACCTTGTCCAAATCAGAATTATCAATGGTTCCCCTGCAGGTAGAGGCAGGAGGAGACTTCTCCGTTATCTCTGTTTTCCTATCGCTGTGTTCGTCAGGGCTTTTCTCTTGAGGCTTCTGCACTTGGTTGGTGACTGTTGAAAGTTCCTTCAGAGATAAAGCCAGGGCAACTGGAAAACCTGTCATCCAAAAGGCATCCTTTTTGGGGGGCTTTCTCTGGTAGGATCTCTTCTTTTTGGAGATTCTTCAAGTTAGGTTTTGGTTTGTCCTGCTTTAACTCCTTGGAGATGGTTTTGGGCTTTCTGTTTCTAGGCATGGTCGCAGAAATAAAATCACCACCAGAGTCAACACCAGAGTCCTCAACTGTGAGTAACTGACTGGTTTTTTATGTCTGGTAGGGCGCACCATGGCGCCCTTCCTCAGTTTAGAGCTGGAGAGCTGGCGTGGAGGTTTCAATTCCTGCCCCAAACTAGACATCACACTCTACACCCTTGATTTAACGTTTTCTTAGATGGATGAATCTATTTCTTCTATCCTGTCTTCAATGCCTGAGATTCTCTCTTCCATATCTTGTATTCTGTTGGTGATGCTTGCATCTGTAGTTCCTGTTTGCTTACCCAGGTTTTCCATTTCCAGAATTCCGTGTGTGTGTGTGTGTGTGTGTGTGTGTGTGTGTGTGTGTGTGTGTTTACTTGATTCTATTTCCATTTTCAGGCCTTGAACAGTTTTATTTGTTTCTGTCAACTATTTTTTTTCTTAACATTCTTTAAGAGATTTATTGATTTCCTCCAAATTTTTGATTGTCTTTTCCTCCATTTCTTTAAAGTATTTTTTCATTTCCTCTTTAAGAACCACTATCATTTTCATAAAGTTCTATTTAAGGCTGTTTTCTTGTGCTTTAGCTGCATTGGAATGTTCAGGTCTTCCTGTCATAGGATACCTGGGTTCTGGTAGTGACACATTGCCTTTTCTGTTACTGATTGTGTTCTTAAACTGGTGTTTAGGCATCTGGATTTGGGGTGCTGTCTAGGTGCTGATTCCTGTGTTTGTCTTTGTTGGGTGGGTGTTTTGTTCCTTGGTTTCTGTTTCCTCTCTGGTCTTCTGGACTAAGTGGCCAAGTGTTATGGTGAATGATAAGTCTTCAGGTCCAGTAGGATGTCTCTGCTGGGGTTTTGGGTGCCTTGGGTCCCTTGATCCGGTTTGGCCTCTAGTAAAGCCAAAGTCTTCTTGGGTCTCTAGATGCAGCCTGGCCTCCAGTAAAGCCTGAGTCGTCTTCTGTGGTACTTAGGACCAGCCTGGCCCCCAGTAGAGTTTCTGGGGCTGTTCTTTTGAATGGTGTGGACTGTATGTGGGCTTGTGGCATCTGTTCTTCTATTAGGTGTGGACTGCATCTGTGCATATGGAATCTGCTGGAGTTCCAGGGAAGGGTCGCTTGTCAACCACAAGTGTGAGGGCAGTTGTGGCTGGTCTGCGCCTCAGTGACAGAAGTCCACCGAGGTTGGAGGCAGCATCAATCACAGAACCAGTGATGAGCTGGGATGGCATTGGCCTGGGGAAGGGTCTCAGTGAACAGAATCCAGGGAGGGGGACAGTTATGCTGCTAGGCAGGTCACACAGCCATTCTGGTTTGTGTGGCCAGGGTCTGCTTGTGGAAAGTCTTCTAGGGTAGTGGGGAGGGCCCAGCCTGAGGCTGGGGATGATCTGGGAATGCCTGGGCTTGGGAAATGGTCACAGGAGGTAGAATCCAGGTGGAGGTGTAGTTCCACTGGTAGGTGGGTCATTCACCCATTCTGACAGGTGTGTTCTGTGCCTCAGTGGTAGAAGTCCCCTGGGATTGGGGTTGGGGGCCAAGCAGAAGAAGGGCCAGGGACAAGCTGGGATGGCATTGGCATGAGGAAGGTTTGGGGTGGACATATTGAGGAGGAAGTAAGCACATAAAATGGCCTCTTATAGGAATGTATTCCTAGATTTCAAAGCCAAAGTGGCACATATATAAATAATTGTAGATGCAAGGGTCTTATTAAATAAGAAACACAGAGCCCAATGTAGAATTAAAAGTCCAAGAGGTCAGAGCAATAGCTAAGAGCTGAGACTAAAACCGCCTTCTTACCCCTCGCTGCCGCTGCCGTCCTTCCCCTGAGAAAGAGGCCTACTTCCTGTGTATCTGTCATTTTATTGACTTTCTGTTCTGCCTTCTCATTGGCTGCAAACTCAACCACATGACCTCGTTGTCACTGCCTGTCTATACAGACTTCCAGGTCTCTATGGTTGGTATTGAGATTAAAGGTGGGTGTCTCCATGCTGGTGGTGTCCTTGGACAGAGATCTGCCTGTCATGTGATCGGGCTTAAGGGCGTGTGCTACCACAGTCAGACTTCTGCTATGGCTTGCTATTAGCTCTGACCCCCAGGTCAGAGCTTTATTTATTAACTTTATTTATTAACATACAAATAAAATCACATTTCAGCACAAATAAAATATCATCATAAATAATGGCACATTATTTATAGTTTTTACATTGTTGTGCATAGTAATGTCTCAGAAAGAATTAAAACCAGATGGCTAGTATTGTTTTGTTGTAGAATTTGAATGGAAACAATCGTTGTTGTCTCTCTTCATGTTCTGATGAACCAGTCAGTGACACTTGGTTTCCTGTTGATTTGAACCCAGGTGATAGTGATACAGACTCGCTACAGGCAATGGCATGCTAAGCGGTATGTAGACAGTTTAAGAGAACAAAAGAGAAAGAGGCTGGATTGGGAAGAAGAGCAAGAGCTCAAGAAGATCAGAGAAAAGGAAGAGTGGATGCAGATGGACTACTACCGAAGGCACAACCCTAAGACAAGCGAGGACTTTGAGCTCCTTTACAATGCTCTAGAACGTAAGTGCTGCAAGAGCTTTGCAGGACAGACAGGCTTGATGAGGAGAAAAGAGAGACACCGTTGATGTAGGGACTGCCTTAGGAATTTAGGTTAGGAAACACACACACATTTTAGTATATTGTTGTACCAGTGTGTCAGCCACAGAACTGAAAATGCTGCCTCATTGGGTTGTGGGATGCTTTGAGCAGCTTGTGAATTCAGAGTTGAGCTGTTAAATTCTTAAATCCCACATCCTGTCTGATTATGCTCTTTAACAATTCCCCTTTAGCCCCCAAGAACAACAACAACAACAACAATTTTACCTTATATCCTCTATAGGATGTGTGTTACTTATAGGTAAAGGCAAAGATTCCGTTACTTCCAGTGTTAGGGTCAGCATCGCCTACTCAAAGGCTTCTGTGACAGACAGCATTATGGAAGATAGGAAATAAAGAAGGGCCTTCAAGGAGGGGACTGTTGTATCTACTGCCCTGAGAAAAGAGTTCATGGCCTTTTCAAGTAATGATGTACATAAAAATTGCAAACAAGGAAGACAAACCCAAACAGACAAGTCTGATTACTCCAAGCCCTCCTCAGAATATGGGTACTCAAACCAATGTTCTTCACCTATTGATATTCATGGAAATTCAGATTAGAGAAAATCAGCTGTATCACACTGCTATTGTCATATGATGGTCCTCACTGCACCCCATACTTTCCACTGTCATCGGCACCTTGGGTTTAGCATTTATTTTTACCAGTAGAGTGCAAACTCCATGAAGGAATGATTTATTTATAATTGGGCAATGCCTATTTTTCTGTGCTTAGCTTATATGCCTAACAATAACCACTAAAATGAATTAATGAAGGAGGGAAGGAAGAAAGTCAGAAACAGATGACTATAATTGTCCGAAGACAGGAGTCTTTTCTTATACTGCATATCTGAGAGTTCAGAGATTGGGTTCTTGTGAGAATACAGATTTTCTAAAATTTAAAGAAACCCCAATTTCATTGTGTTGAACAGCGTTCTTTAAGCCAAGAGAATGAGTCTTTGACTTCTCCAATTGTTTATAACATTAAGCATTGTTATCTGTTTTTGTGGTTACTCCATGTGGTATAAAGATCAATTCTTAAATTGGTGGTTCAATAGAGAGCATTGTTAGCCATGTTTCCTGAAAAAATCCTATAATCATAAAACTAATATTCTGTTATAGCAGGAATCTATGAGAATAATATTTCAAGTCATATATGAAGTAGCCAATAATGTCCCTGTTAATTTCATCGTGATGATGGGCAATTGTGAAAAGCATCAGAAAACAACAAATTTTGCCTTCTCTACTTGACAGTATTAGGTAACAATTGCTCTCTTCTTGTAAACCTCAGTTTCCTCAACTCAGATTCCACACTTTCAGTTACATCTTATTCAGAAAGCTCAGTCAAGTGAAGAACACAAAATATAACATTTATGGAAATATATGTGTGAGTTCCTGTCCTGAAGTGACTAATCTTAACAGTATTTCTATGTCAAAGTAGAACATGTGCTTTATATATGACTGTACAGGAATTGTATGGCAAAAATGAAAACAAATAGACATTTCTTACACAGGAAATGTATTTCAGTTTTTCCATCTTAAAATTATGAATTAAAAGATTTAGAATAATTTAAAAATCCTTTATTTTGAGGGGAGGGACTCACCTGTTTACAGATCAGTGTTTTATGCCACTCTTCTATTTAATTCTATTTTTTTCATTCCTTCTTCCCAAGTGAGCCTTGTAGTTACTGCCCTCTTGTGGCTCAGAGTGACAATTGTGTGACTTGAAGTACAATTCATAAACCAAAAATTGTTTTTGTAAGACGTTCTTTCCATAGTAATAAAAACAGAATGCCACTTATTTCAGAAGATAAACATTACCATCCAAGATACATCAGGCAAGACTGTCTCCAGCTGATACTTAATGTTGTGTCGCTCTTTTTATTACAGTATAATAGTAGGGTAGATTTTCACTAACCAGAATTTCCCTCAACGCCATTAGGGGAAGAATGTTGGTTTGAGTACCCGAATTCTAAGGAGTAATTGGGCTTGTCTTTCTTGTTTTCAATTTTTATGTAAGTAGAATTATTCAGAATTAATTTTTTATGCCTGCCTTTTAAACTTCAACACTATACTGTGAATTCTGTTTGTGTCATCACACATATTTCAGCTTGTTTGGTCTCATTTCTATAGACTATGCCACTGCAGAAAAGGACCACAGTTTTTATATCCATTTTACTGTGGATTTGTACACAGGCTGTCCCTTTGAGGGAAAACGGAAGTGTGCATTTCTCTAGGGTGTTAGATTTGGGAGTGCAGATCCTTGTTGGACAGGTGTGCGGTTTTTCAGCTTTAGTGGCCTGACAGCCAGCCTTTCAGAGAGAAAACCAGTGTGTACCTCTTGAGGAAAGTATAAGCTTTAATTACTTCATCATCCAATCTAATCTCAGGCACTCCTGTCTTCATTTTGCTTTTTCTGGAGATGTACAGCCCCATAACCCCAATTCATTTGACTGAGAACCCAAGAGATTAGATATCAGGATATCAGAGTCAGTGTAAGACATTTTGTCCCCCTCATAAAGGCTTTATAAGAAGAACTAAATTGAGAACTTGCTTTGGCCCATGGACCACTCAGTAAGATCAAAGAAATTAAAAAAAGAAGGAAAGTTATGAAGCAGCTAGTAAAAGTGTTTTTTTTGTTGTTGTTGTTTTGTTTTTTAAAGTGAGCCATTACTTTGGAGTAGTTTCCAAGAGGATTGTGAGAGTTATTTCAAGGAGTCCTCCCGGTGGTCTTTGAAATAAGTTCCTTTAGTTTGAGGAAGGCAGAGGACTGGTAGTCACCTTTGTGACTACCTTGTCCTGGTAGGTCAGTGTCTGACCACAACCCAGGGTGCTAGAGATCTGGAAGACAACATTGAGGTGTATACCACTCCCAGGATATTTTGAGCAGAAACACACAGTTGTCCATCAAACCGAGTCTACACCGGAGAGAATGAGTAAACAAGGCCAGTTCCTCCATTGTTTGTTCGGCCAGCCAGCTGGGGAAATGAAGGGATTTTGTCAGTAAGATGCTCAAAGTGAACAGCTGGTACCCTTATAAGCAGCTCCCCGGAGTTTAGACATCTCTCTCAGGGCCAGAAGATTTGGAGAATGGGAGGTCAGCTCAAGTACCCTGGGATAGCAAGCATGAATCACCTGTCAGGCCAGAAGAAGAGGGGCCTCTACTCTCTTAAGTAAGAAAAGTAAGAACTTACCTTCTCACTCTGGGTGTTTTCTGTAGTGAATGTTTTTACCTTTGATAAAGTTCAATTTATCCATTTGTTTTTATATAGGTCATATACTTAGTGTTACATCTAAAAATTCTTCAAACATAGGCTCACATAGATTTTTTTCCTATATTTTCTTTTGGAATCTTGTGGGTTTATATTTTACATTTAGATATATAATTCAATTTGAAGAAAATTATATGAGGTATGAAATGTAAGTTGAACTTAATTTTTAAATGCTTTTGTTTTAAGTATCTGTAGCTAGAGTTTTCCTGTCTTGCCCACAGTCAGGACAAATCTCTGTCCCCCGCCAGTCCCACAGCCGCTCAGACCCAACCAAGCAAACACAGAGACTTATATTGCTTACAAACTGTATGGCCGTGGCAGGC